TAAAGGAGGACAGTTCCCAGGTATGTCCAAGACCAAAGAGGACAAACAATGTTAAACCTTAAGGCTCAAGAATAATCTTCTTTGACTCAATGATCTGCCTTCTAAACCCACTGGGATGGCAATATCATCCCAGGGCCCAGCGGGAAGGCCTGTAGCGACTATCTGCCTGGGCTCCATGGCTCTCTGGGTCTGGGGTCCTTGGCCCATGAGTCTCCCAGGTGGCCCTATCCTCTGAAATTTAGGTAAAGGCAGCCATGCCCCGCCAGACCTGTGCCAATGGAGACAGGGTTGTATGGTCATCACCAAAGTTTGCTGCCCATGCCCTTTGGAAGGGCAACCACTGCGGCCCATGCTACACTGGGGGTCTACCAGAGCTTCATCTGGGGTGTTGGAGGAGTGTGGCACAGACTACAGAGATCAGAGCCCTACATGTGAGATGGCACCATACAGCTGGCACCAAGGTCTCACAGGTGCTGGTGGTCCCTTCTTTGAACCACTCTGCTCCCCAGGCCCTTGCACTCAGGGCCTGTGATGAGAATGGCAGCTCTGTTGATCTCTGAATCCCCTTTGGGGGTCATTCTTCATTGCCTTGGAGAAGAGTGCCTGGCTTCTGATCAGATGGCTGATCCATACTAATCTCCTTATCAGTCACTTGACCACGCCCTTAGTGTTCTCATTTTTTGCAATATGGATAGGCTGAGAATTTTCCTAATCTTAAGTTCCGCTTCTCAGTCTTGAGGGAAAAAAACGGAGCTGGAGGAATCAAACTCCCTGACTTCAGACTATACTACAAAGCTACAGTAATCAAGACAATATGGTACTGGCACAAAAACAGAAATATAGATCAATGGAACAGGATAGAAAGCCCAGAGATAAACCCACACACCTATGGCCAACTAATCTATGACAAAGGAGGCAAGGATATACAATGGAGAAAAGACAGTCTCTTCAATAAGTGGTGCTGGGAGAACTGGACAGCTACATGTAAAAGAATGAAATTAGAATGCTCCCTAACGCCATACACAAAAATAAACTCAAAATGGACTAGAGACCTTAATGTAAGACTGGAGACTATAAAACACGTAGAGGAAAACATAGGAAGAACACTCTTTGACATAAATCACAGCAAGATCTTTTTTGATCCACCTCCTAGAGTAATGGAAATAAAAACAAAAATAAATAAATGGGACCTAATGAAACTTAAAACCTTTTGCAAAGCAAAGGAAACTACAAACAAGACAAAAACACAACCCTCAGAATGGGAGAAAATATTTGCCAACAAATCAACGGACAAAGGATTAATCTCCAAAATATATAAATAGCTCATGCAGTTCAATATTAAAAAAACAAACAACCCAATCAAAAAAATGGGCAGAAGTACTAAATAAACATTTCGCCAGAGAAGACACACAGGTGTCCAAGAAGCACATGAAAAGCTGTTCAACATTACTAATTATTAGAGAAATGCAAATCAAAACTACAATGAGGTATCACCTCACACCAGTTAGAACGGGCATCATCAGAAAATCTACAAACAACAAATGCTGGAGAGGGTATGGAGAAAAGGGAACCGTCTTGCACTGTTGGTGGGAATGTAAACTGATACAGCCACTATAGAGAACAGTATGGAGGTTCCTTAAAAAACTAAAAATAGAATTACCATATGACCCAGCAATCCCACTACTGGGCATATACCCAGAGAAAACCATAATTCAAAAAGACACATGTACCCCAATGTTCACTGCAGCTCTATTTACAATATCCAGGACATGGAAGCAGCCTAAATGCCCATCGACAGAAGAATGGATAAAGAAGATGTGGTACATATATACAATGGAATATTACTCAGCCATAAAAAGGAACGAAATTGGGTCATTTGTAGAGACGTGGATGGATCTAGAGACTGTGATACAGAGTGAAATAAGTCAGAAAGAGGAAAACAAATATCTTACATTAACGCATATATCTGGAACCTAGAAAAATGGTACAGATGAACCAGTTTGCAGGGCAGAAATAGAGACACAGATGTAGAGAACAAACGTATGGACACCAAGCGGGGAAAGTGGCGGCAGGGTGGTGGTGGTGAGATGAACTGGGAGATTGGGATTGACATGTATACACTGATGTGTATAAAATGGATGACTAATAAGAACCTGCTGCATAAAAAAATGAATAAAATAAAATTCTAAATAAATAAATAAATTCTGCTTCCTTGTAGCTTAACAATCCTATCTTTACGTCCATTCTCTCAGGTTGAATTTACTGTAAGCAGTCAGGAGGAGCCAAGCTGCACTTCAACACTTTGCTTAGAAATTGTTTCAGCTAGGTATCCCATTTCACCACTTGCAAGTTCTACCTACCACAAAACACTAGAATATGGACACAATTCTGCCAGCGTTCTTGGCCACTTTACGATAAGGATCACTTCTCCTACAGTTTTCAATAACATGTTCCTCATTTCCATCCTGGTCTTTATTGTCCATATTTCTACCAATATCCTGTTCATTAGGTATTCTCTAAGAAGACTGAGGTTTGAGTTTGCCTCTTTTCTTCCTAAGCTGTCATCAGAATTATCTTTAAAATTCTGTTCATGTCAATATAGTCTTTCACCAGTATGCACCTTAAAACTTCCAGCCTCTATTCCTCACCCAGTGCCAAAGCCAGTGCCACATTTTTACATATTTGTTATGCAGCATCCCCATTTCTTGGTACCAATTTCTGTCAGTCTGTTTGGGCTTCTATAACAAAAATACTGCAGACTGAGTGGCTTAAACATTTAACTCTGGAGGATGGGAATTCCAAGATCAAGGCTGGCAGATTATAAGGGCACTAATCCCATTCATGAGGGCTCCACCTACATGACCTATCACCTCCCAAAGGCTCTACTCCAAATACCGTCACACAGGTAATTCATAAATTTGTGTGTGGGGGGGAATACAAACATCCAGTCTATTGCAAAGCCTCAATCACAAGTCAAAAATAAAACAGTATTTTACTATAAACTATATTATATTTATTTAGAAGCCAAAAACAGTATGATGAAACATGAAAACACACACATTTCAGGGAATGGCTTGTTTTGTTAATCAATCTGATCAGTTTTACACAATGAAATATCATTAAGAAACATAAAAATTATAATATAAACTGTAGTATAATAATATAAGAAACATAGTATTATTTTTAAAGAAAGAAATTGTAAGAGACATGTTAATACCACAACAACTTTAAACAGCAATTTAAAATGTCATGCTAGAAATAATTTTTTCTTAGTATTATGCATCAGGTCTTAGAATGTAGGGATGTAGGCAAGTAAAAATGAAAAGTTTATATAGTAAACTTTCTGAATACTATTGTCTGATTTGCTCTATCAAATGTCAGACACCATTATAAGAAATAATATATCTGTCCGTTTAAGACTACAATTGCCTTAAATATAAGGTAATTATTATTTTAGAAACAAGCAGTTTTTACATTTTTTTAGAAAGCTAGTAGTAGCATATAAAAATGAACATTACAAGAAACTGGGTAAAACAACATTTACCATGAAAAGATGAATATAATTTTAAAATGAGGCACCTTTCTTTCACTTCAATAGGAACTGTGGGTGAAGGCCTTCATCTCATACCGCAGAACACTCAGTCTTGCTTCTTTTAATAAAGAGCAGTGGAAGAATACATTCCATTCTATGTACTGGCTGTGTTGAAAGAACACAGTTCAGGTCCAGATAGGAAGCTAAAGTGCAGTAGAGGCAAGTTGATTTATCAGAGTGTATTCACTAATACACTGTGATTTTAACTAGTTAATACAAATAAGTGTAATTTATACTTTTACTATGTTGATCCAAATAATCTTTACTGATAAGCTATAGATCCCAGAGAAGCAGCAATGTTTGCTCTGTTTTATTATTTTCTTTGCATAGATACAGATTTATCTATCATTTAAATAAAAACCAGCAAAACAATATTAAGCAGTGTCTGCATTTGTAATTTTTGCTTTTACAAAGTCCTATGCAGAATGTCACATTTCAAAATTTAAAAACAAAACTCCAACTCTTGCAATTTGAACAGCACAGTTCAAATCAGGGATCTTCTTGTAAGAAAAAAAAAAATCATCTCTGTGTCATATCAAATGAGACACAGGTTCAATAGGCAATCCTAGAGATTCGACCAAACCTATTTTACATGTAAGACATCTATAACCAAGAGAGGTTAAATGTATTAAATACAAGTTTCTCATAAGGGCACTGATGTCTCTAAAGTGCTCAGAGATCTAGATTGGTTAATGGTCCTGGTAGTCTGACTCTATCTTCATACAGAGGCAGCTCCTGATTGTGTATGCTAGTAAATGAGGCATGGAAAATATAACCTTATGATATGAAAAACATATTTTGTAATAAAATAAAAATTTCCATTGAAACTTTTATGAAGTTTGCAAAATAAGGTTCTGATACATTTGCACAAGTGAAATTTTCCTTGTGCAATAAAACATAGTATTTCTCTCTGCCTTCCGTTTTGCTTTTAACAATGAAGAGTATCATTCTTTTCACCTGGAATCAAATTTGTCTTCAGTAACTGGACATGTTGATGGAGAGGAGAGGGTCAGAGTTAGAAGCTATATTACTCTATCTCAACAAAGATTGTTCTAAAAAGCCCATCATTTTACTATCAATTAATATGAAAGCTTTGGGATTCATTTTCCCTCATCTCATGTTTAATGTGTTTTCAAGTTCACTATATATATGTTTACTTGGTTAATGGGTCATAACTTTTTCAGGTAAACTCTTAGTCTACCAAGTAGACGGGGAGACATAGTTGAAACACATGTTTAGATGTGTTCTTGCACTTACACTCTCAGCCTACCTGTCAAAGCTAATACCCAATAACAATAATCTGCAAGAGCAGATAAACATATTTGTGAATAATTGAGGGCTGACTGTAAGCCCAACCAACTTTTCTACATTTTTTTCATTAATCAGAATTGCTGATTTGCGGTATCCATCAATTATGAGTGGATGATCGTTGTGGTGGAGAGCTTTCAAAATACATGAAGTCCTGAAATTGGAAAGAGAATTATATGTACAGATAAATATCAAATTAGATAGATAAATAATTGTATAAATAATGTAAATAGATAATTAGGTGCAATGCACAAAATGTTATTCTTCGTAATTTATCAGGTGATCTCATTCCAGTTAAGAATAAATCAAGCTAATGAAATTTTCACAAAGAGAACCTAATATGAAGAACAGCAATTGCAAATTTGAACCTGTAGGTAGTCAATAAGTTTTCCATTTGGGGTACCGATTAACTAAATTTTCATTGTTGAAAGGAGGAAAAACTTGATAATCAATATTAAAAATGTTAAATATACCAATTGCAATATGTTAATTAGGTTTTTAAGGTAAATGCTATCAATTTTATTTCTATGCTTTACTTATGAATATTAGCCACTAATCAGACAGGAATACAGCAAGGAAATTGTACCTAATAAATCTTAGGTATATTTACAAAGAGGTAATAGATGAAGGGAGAGAACATCAGCTTTAGAGTTATTTTATTTCACTAAGAAATCAAAGAACAGGCATCTTTAAGTAGTGAGAACGATAAGTAACATGAAATGATGACAATTACACCCACTGGATGCTTAGTATCTTTCAAGCACTCTCCTGGCCCCTTTACTCATATGATAGCTAATACTCATAACCCTGAAATATATATATATATATAAGTATTTTCATTTCCATTTTAGAAATAAGGAAACTGAGGCTTGCAAGTGTTAAACACTTTGCAAGACATATAACTAGTAAGTGGCAGAGACAGCTTCAAATCTTATTGCCTTTATACTGCACTACACTGCTTCTCATCAGAAAGAATAATTCTCTCAGGATAACTCAGAAAAAAAAGGCTTACAATGAGGAAGCAAGCTCCAAAAATCATGGCTTTCATTGTCACATCCAGGTCTAATGGGAAGTGAATTTCAAAGTGGTCAGCATCACTCATTGCTGATAACACACCATTCCACTTCCGAGTAATACTGCCGATACTGGATACACCATCAAGGGATATGACCTAGAAAGACAAGAATGTGACTTTATGATTGAAAGGTGTTAAACTACATGCTTTATTCTCCTGTTTATAAGCATTTTACACTGAGGTAGTATAAATATGGTGCAGGAAATGAATATAGTAATAATATAATTTCAAATAGGGCATTATGGCCAAGAAGGGTTAAGTGCCTTGCAACTGGTTGACAACCAAGCTGGGGAGAATCTTACAATTCTCAGGCCAGTGTTCTTTCTTCACCCTCAAATGAGTTATTAGGGAAGCCTGTCAGAGGAGGTATGATTTAAACTGATTTTAAATTCTTTTTTGTATAGCAAAGGGTGGGAATTGGGGATTGGGAGGGAGTCTTTCCCAGTCGAGGGAAACATGTTAGCAAAAGCAAGGTGGTATGGTTCTTTTCACTTCACAAAATCCATAGGCTCACTCAGGCTTCTGTGGGCCCTGTCTTCTTAAAGTATGTCAGAATCCCAAAGGGCTTCAGCTTCTAGAAGGCACTTGCCACAAGGATAATAACCAAACACTACATTTTGGTGATTAAAATGACCCACACACCCTGCCCTCAAAATCTGGCTTATCTACATTTTCTATCTATCTATAATGGCCTTTTAATAAATAAGTAATGGTTGATGATATGGTTATGAAAAATGAGAACTAAGGAAAGTTTATCGGGTGTCATAGAAAATATTTGAATGAGCAATTTTGGATTATCAATTTTGTTGAATTGCGAGGCATTTAGAAAGAACTCTTTAAGAAGCCCACGAATCTCCTTTGTCACAACTGTTAAGAGTGATAAGCTACCATTTTGTGGCCATTGAGATGAAGGAAAAACAGAAGGATTTTCCTTCTTCCAGAAAATGTTATAATCCACTATAAGATTTATCCTGGTTTATGAATGTTGTCTTGTTTCTTGAGGATGCAGACAGACCTCTATCTTGCAAATAAGCAATGTGCACAACCTCAGGGGTGCTCTATTGGTTCTGTGATATGTGGGGCCTTTTCATTACTCAGGACCTATATTCTGTTCCTGGAAATCTTTGGTAAAAATGGTTAGCGAAATACAGCCAAGAATAAAATAGACGGATTAGGTTAGGCTATTTACTCTCAGGTTTAATGTTTTAAATGGTTTCTTCTTACCTTTATCAAACACTGAAATCATGCAAAAGAAGCTCACATCGTGGAAAACATTAAGCAATCCCCTAATGATAATTTGAAAATTTTTCAATGTCAACTGGTTAGTTAACTCTTTCCTCACATTACTTTATTCATTCACACACACAAAAATCATCTAAAAGCACATCATTCTGAGGTCTGTTAGTAGATGTAGAGAAAATAGTAGAAACATCTATTTTTATATTTGTTTACCTCAAAAACAGAATCTGAACCACAGCCATAGGTTGAGCATGGCCCAATCACTCCCATCATATCTTCTTTCTTCTCGTTTTGGATGCTGTACACTGCCCTGCACAGGTTCCAGTGTTCGGCAACAAAGCCAATGGTGAAACCAGGAGGACACTGCACCTCCAGCTGCAAATGAAGCAGTGACAGAGGCGAAGATGCTACATGTATAGGTAAACACATACACAGATACACGCAACCTAGGTATGTTCCTAATTCATTCAAGAACTAGGGAAACTGTCACCGGGAAAGAG